ATGAAATGAAATGAAATGAAATGAAATGAAATGAAATGAAATGAAATGAAATGAAATGAAATGAAAAGCATAAAGGTAGCAAAGGACTTGGAAAGGTGAGGCGGTGTGACAGGGTAGAAGAGAGAGAAGAGAGTAAGGAACGAGAATAAACACAACACACTCTATACACACATGGAACTGCCAAAGAAAAAATATCACCAAGTCACTAAAAAGAACTTAGAAAAGGAAAAAGAAAGGTTTCAGAAGGAATAAAGTAAGTTGAGCTAGAAAAATTTTAAGAGATGAGGAAAAAATCACAGATCCAAGACCTGATTTTTTTAAAGGGGAAAAAAAATCTATCAAACTGAGAAAAAATGAGCTGGAGAGATGGCTTAGTGACCTGTCCCCTGAACCCTCACTCAGCCGATACCCTGTTCTGAAAGATATCTGTATGCCCCCTGAACACCCACGCTGCAATGTCATTCCCTTCCCCACGTCCTGCCTTTTTGTGTTTATAACCCCTGTATGAATGAGTATAAATTACAATTTGAAAAAAAATAAATTATATATATGTGTGTGTGTGTGTGTGTGTGTGTGTGTGTGTATTTAAAAAAAAAGAGCACTGCCTGCTCTTCTAGAGGTCCTGAGTTCAATCCCCAGCAACACATGATGACTCACAACCACCTGTAATGAGTTCCGACACCCTTTTCTGGAGTGTCTGAAGACAGGGACATAAACATAGAATATACATAAAATAAATACATATACATAAAATAAGTAAATAAATCTTTTTTAAAACCAACTGAAAAAAACCTTTAACTAAACTAAGAAAAATGGAAGCCTCGATTAAAATCAGAAACTAACAGAATATGGCGACTGATTCCATAGAAGTTAAAAAAGAGGAGTTCGGATCCCTCCTCAGCCGTTATCTTTATACTCACAGCTTTCAGCTCTCAAAAAAAGCAGCTTATTTTTACAATGAGCAGTGGTAAATACAGACTCCCCACAACTAGTCAACATGCAGGGAGTAAGTAACTGTGGGATTCTCAGCTATAAATGAGATATCTTCACCACATCCCTTCCACTCATGGCTTAGAAAAATCCCAAGACAGAAGACAAGAAGATAATAAGAGCCAGAGGTTAGGGCAGCTGCTATGTACTGGAGAAGAGTCAGTTTTCTTCAGGTGTACAGCGTCTCACACTCACAAGCACCCCTGTTGGTGGGCCATGCACTAATGGGTGGCCCAAAACCCATACATATATGGGCAGTACTGAAATATACATATTTAT